AATTTTTCTAAAATGTAACAACTTATTGTTTCGTAATATTATTGTTATATATTTTACGAAACTATGTTACCTGATACTGTTAATTCTTATATATGTACTATCCGTTATGCTACCCTAACTCTACTCGATTTATCAGACAGCATTGAGTTGTCATGAATCATGAAAATACTAGATGTTTGTGACTATCATATTTTTCAGCCCTAGTGAAACTAACTCGTACTAACTCCAACTCGAATTATCGTAAACACCCAGTGTCGTTAAATTTCCGTAACGACACCCTAGACTAATGACATTGTCGTTAAGAAGTTAGAGAATAGGGCTACAGGTACGAAATCTTCCTTTTCCAAAAGGAAGGCATCTCAGATGGCATCACTACCATTCACGCCCCCTCCTAAAGGCGGGATCACAAGAGCTCAGTAGTAGTAGAGCAGTGACCGGCGAGGCAGTCAGTCAGAGTTGGGTGCCGGGATCGGAAGTCCAAAGATAGTCCTCACCTCCAAACCCCATTCCTCTAATTCACTAATTCTAAACCTTAGTCCCCTTTAATTCTTAAGCAAGTAACTTTAGGTTATCTTTCACATTTCTAAACATTTACGAGCGTTTTATTCTAATGCCTAATTCTTTAGTTTGTTAAACAGTTTATTTTAGTTATTTCGTCACTTCCGTTACTCTAGCCCATAGACTTATAGAATAGACTGGCCCCTACCGTTAGAGGCAGCGTGCAAAGATCTAAAGGATAGAGAGATGATTCCGGGACTAGCCGTCCTTCTCTTTCTTAGAAGCTTCTACTCCGTACAGCTTGTGGCAAATGCAGCAGGAACGTACTATATTATTTATCGTATATGTACATGCACACGAAATGATCAAATAAAATTGCAACCTGCAGCGTAAACGAAATGATCGAATAAAACTACCGATGCACGTTGCTTTCCCCTCATCTCGTACACGCATGCTCGCTTTGTTTTCACCCATCCCTTCGGTCCCCACCACGAGACGAAAGAGAAGGACGGCGAGTCCCGGAATCATCTCTCTATCCTTTAGATCTTTGCACGCTGCCTCTTATGGTAGGGGCCAGT